CCATGTGCACATCTGTTTTGTAAACAAAGCTCCTCAACCAATGACAGCACGTTAAATGTATCAAGTGACAAAGACGAGTGTCAGAACACTTTGAAACAAGCGCTGTTCTGGATTAAAAAAAAAACATACTTCCACGTTTCAAATCATTATCAAATTTGGGACAAGGGCAGATAAAATAATGTTCTTCATGGCAGATTATCTCTTTAAGGGGTCACTAGAAAAACTCGGGTGATTTACTTTGATCCTTTTTCAAAAAATTGTCTCTTCAAAACGCATCAACAAAAATTAAAAACCCGAAGACGAGGCTGTAGCTAACTACCTGACGGCAGCGTGATTTGTTGAAATTTGTCGAAACAACGAAGCAGGAGGAAATTACAAGCAAACGCACCGAGCAACCTTGCAAAATCTGGTCACAGCAGTTTGGGAAGAAAATGGCAGCAGCTGCTGACGAAGTGTCAACATCCCTACAATATGCATTCCTTTAAGTCACAGGTGTCATATTCTGGTCCTCATGGGCCACTTATCTTACATGTTTTCCTTGTTTCCCTGCTCCAACATACCCGATTCAGTGACTGAATTACCTCTTTCAATTCTGTAGAAGACTCTTAATCTCCCAATCATGCAAATCAGGTTAGAGCAGAGAAAGGTGTAAAATATGCAGGACAGTGGACCTCCAGGACCAGGATTTGACACCCCTGCTTGAATACTGGACCTTGACTTGGAATATGAAAGCATTTTGCAACTATGTATTTAGAAAAGCACTGCTAAAAAAACACATACAACACTTTGACACAAAAGTGTACAATATATAAAGTACAGCTTGTCTGTATCTCTAGAAAAACAAGCAAAAAATAAGGTGCTCATATAAGGAGGAAGCAGAGGCTGACCTTTTAGGTGGGGAAGCTATTTCAACCATTTATTGCACARATTTTCCCAGGTGCTGATGAATTCTTAACTTCATCTGATTTCAAACTCTTCACCTGGATTCTTAAACTTAGATGGTTTCCAGCAGGTGGTGCTAATGGGTTAAGAAGACAGGAGGAGTAATAAACTAATAAAAACATTTCTGAGCAGTCTTATGGAGTTCAGGATCCTTGTAAAAACTTAATAACTTCACTGGCTGAACTTCTATAACCTACACACTTATTAAATTAAAATAAGAAGATRTGAAGGCGAACTATAGGCTATACATGAAACTAAGCTCTTGACTGAATGTTTTTCCGCTCTAAATAATCTATATATTAATGTATGCACGCTTGAGCGTATCCTATAACGCAAGAAAGCAGCATTCACAAGTTAGTGCACAGACTTGATTCACTGTTAAAACAGAAAGCCACACTACTTACTTATATTTGTGTTATTAAGCAGCTTGTCAGCTACGACTGCATCAACCATGACAAACTGTCACCGTAAGCACAAACTTGCGTAATGTGTCAACTTAGCGCATTTGCTATTATAAGTTAGCCGGTGAGCTAAACTAAGCAGCTAACAACAACAGTCCGATACCTTCAGTGAGTCCGCTGAAAGTCCGATGTTTTGCTCTGAGAAATATGTCTTCACCTTCAGCCATGTCATGCACTAGGTCGACAGCTTTCTGATAACAATGTTCAATGTGTCCGGGGGAAAAAAAAAGTTGCTCTAGTGCTGCTTCCTCCCGCTGTTAGCTCCAAATGACGTTGAATCGATCGGTGATCGACTACTCGCCCTGTTTGGGAGTCAGTGGAATCATGGAACTGTCAAACTTATATGAAATTCACACAGAGGAAMTTAGTTTTTATAACTGTACCGTCGGAATACCTCTCTTTAATTAAATACACTGATTATGAAACTATAAGGCGATATAATMACTAATTAGGACCAGGTGTAGCAGTGATTCAGGGAAAATTAAGCTTTTTTTTTGCGGCTTTGTAGTTATATCAGGCTTTGCCTCTTAAGGCTTATCCTGTATTATTCTATCCCTTTTTGCATCTCATTTACATTTTTGTGTGTGGCTGAATGGCTAATTCCATGTATAATTATTTTTATCATTTTAGTTATGTTGCATCCATTTTGTGATATTCATCATTATTATTCACTATATATTATATTGTTTTTCTTATATGATTTGCATCTCACATACTTTTTGTTATGCCTGCCTTTCCTGTTATGAAAAGTAGGTAATAATTTAATTACGTGTGTGTGTGTGTGTGTG